TAGCAGGGGTAGGGATCTGGGGACCATGCTTTTAGGGGACATCTAGGTCAAATTGACATAACAAAGCTTATTAAGAAAATGTTCTGCATCCTACTTTGGTGAGTGGCGTCTGGGATCTTAAAAGCTTGCAAGCAGACATCTAAGATGCATCAATTGGTCCCAGCCACCTAGAGTAAAGGAGAATGAAGAATACCAGAGACACAAGGAAAGGATTAGCCCAAGAGACAGAAAGGGCCACATAAACCAGAGACTCCACCAGCCTGAGACCAGAAGAACTAGATGGTGCCAGGTTACCACCAATGACCGCCCTGACAGGGAACACAACAGAGAGTCCCTGATGGAGCAGGAGAGAGGTGGGGTGCAGAACTCAAATTCTATTAAGAAGACCAGACTTATGGGTCTGACTGAGACTGGAGGAACTCCAGAAAGCATGGCCCCTGGATTCTCTATCAGCCCAGAATAAAACAATTTCCGAGGCCAACTCTTCAGACGGGGATTGGACTGGACCGTGGGACATAAAGTGATACTCGTGAGGAGTGTGCCTCTTAGCTTAAGTAGATACAAGAGACTAAACGGGCAGCTTCTGTCTGGAGGTGAGATGGGAAGGCAGAGAGGGTTAGGAGCTAGTTGAATGGACATGGGGAATCAAGGGTGGAAAGGAGGAGTGTGCTGTCACAGTATGGGGAGAACAATTAGGGTCACATAACAATGTACATATAAATTTTTGTATGGGAGACTAACTTGAAATGTAAACTGCATTTAAACTACAACAATAATAAATAAGTGTGTGTATATATATATATATATATATATATGTATATATATGGATAACAGTTCACGTACCATCAAGTCGAAAAAAATGTTCAAGCCAATTGACCCGGTAATTCTACCTATGGGAATTTGCCCTAAGGAAGTAGTTCAAAAGAATGAAAAACCTGTGTTCCTCCATCAACATGTTAATTCATTAATTAAGCAATTCGTTAGAAATTATGCATTGTACCGTGCACATTCCGGGAACTCTCCTAGGCAAATGAACATGTTCACTGCAGCCATATTTATAATAGTAAAATGTAATAAACAACCTAAATTATTAAAAATGTGCAATGGTTTTAATGCAGTATGAGACATCCCTGTGATAGACTATCGTGCTTTAGCGCTGTACAAAGCAAGCGAAATTCAAAAAGACCTGTTAGCTGCTGTGGTTAAGCACATATTCTCTTAAGTTTACTGCCTGGGCTTGAATTCTGTGTCATGCAGTAGCTGGTTAACCTTGTCAAGTTCATTGCTACCTCTAAGACCTTACCAGTGAGGTGGGCATAACGTTCACCTCATTGGGTTGCTGTGAACATTAAATGAGAATAGCTACGCAAAGTGCTTAGCACAATTCCTAGCAACTGACAAGTACTCTGAGACCCTGCATGGTGCAACCCATTAACTTGCTCAAAAGATTGGTGGTTCGAGTCCAGCCAGAGGCACCTTGGAAGAAAGGCCTGGTGCGATTGACTTCTGAAAAATCAGCCACTGAAAATCCTATGGAGCACAGTTCTACTCTGTCTGACACACATCGGGCCACCATTAGTTGGAGTTGAACCTCCAGCTACTGGTTTTTTGGACAAGTATTCAGTTAACATGACTACTTTAACTATGTAAAAATGTGATCAGTAGACGAAGTCTGACAGAGACTGCCCCAAATTTACAGCCCCGAGAGATAGTATGGATGATTTGTCTCCCATATCTTATTTACTATCTTTGCATTAAAACCTTCAAAGTTATAAGTGATGCAGAAAGTTAAAAACAGGCAAAGCACTTTGACCTATCAGTGGTCAGAACGTCAGGCAGTTCTGTGCTTTCTCTTTCCAGCGGTGTTTGGCCAGCGCCTGGATGAGACTGTTGCCTATGAACAGAAATTCGGCCCCCACCTCGTGCCCATCCTGGTGGAGAAGTGTGCGGAGTTCATTAGGGAGCACGGCCTGAATGAGGAGGGCATCTTCCGCCTGCCTGGGCAGGACAACCTGGTGAAGCAGCTGAGAGATGCTTTTGATGCGGGGGAGCGGCCCTCCTTTGACAGGTACTCTGTCCTCCCCGGCAATGTCCCCTCTCTCCCCTCACCTCTGGTCTGCTTGGGTGAGAGGAATTCTTTTCCCAGTTGAGCTATGGGATTTGCACAGGTGCTTCTAAGAGCCCTGCCTTATACCAGAGCTTTTTGTTTGGCTTGTAATTCAGGATTTGGGAGCCTGGAGCACAGTTAGGAGAGTATTTTGACAATTTACGTGAGAGGTGGTATAGACCAGAATTAGAGCCTTGCAGGGCATATTCAACAGAGTTTAGGATATAAGGGAAGGGGAGAAAGATGGAGACTAGCCTAACGCTCATCCATTGGGGCAGATGAGGAACATGGGAAAGCTGCACTGTCTGAACAGACAGACTCAGCTGTGCTGGAGAACGCTCCATAAATATACCCAAGGACTCCACTGATCTCACTCAGGTTTCCAAAAGTGGCCAGAACCAGGATTCCTCATTAGTTTGGGAGACCACCAACCTAAAAGCCAGTTGCCATCGAGTCAATTCCAACTCATGCTGACCCCATGTGTGTCAGAGTAGAACTATAGTCCGTAAGGTTTTCAATGGCAATGATCTTCGGAAGCAGATTGCCAGGCTTCCTCTGGGTGGATGCAAACCGCTGACCTTTTGGTCTGTAGCTGAGTACTTAACCATTTTCGCCACACAAGGACTCCATTACAGCACAATTCTGAACTTAGTTATGGGCCCTTTTGAGGGGAGTGTATACTGACGTCTTGGCAGCCTGGGGTTCTCCCAAGTCTCCTCTGTGGAGATTGTCCAGCCCTGTTTGGAGCATAGCAGCTGTAGTGATATTATTCCTTCCACCATCCCTCTCCTACTCCACCTCCTCCAGCCACCCAGCAGAACTTTTCTTCTCTTCCATGCTCAGCTAGCACAGTCCCCTACCCCAGCATTGCACATCCCTTGCCTATTGCACAATATTCACCCCTGGTTGCCTGCATGCACTTGTCTTGTTGGCACAAGAATGATTGATCTTTCCAAATTAGCAATCCATAAACCTGAATTCAATCCAGGTTCCAAAGGTTGAAATTCCCCAAGAACTTACTTAGAACTGAAGAGTGGGGCTGATTCTGAAAAAACTGTAAAGACAAAAGTGCCATGCTTGTGTGCCCAGTGTCATGGCTCCCTCTCCACCCCTTCCACTCCAAGCACCAGTGTGGCCTGTTCTTCCTCCCAATTGTCTCTGAGACCCATCTGCTTCTCTCCATTCTCACAGTCACCGTCTTTTTTTGGGCCACCAGGTATCTTCCCAGGAGCCCTGGTGGTTAAGAGCTTGGCTGCTAACCAAAAAGGTTGGCGGTTCCAATCCACCAGCTGCTCCTCGGAAACCCTATGGGGCAATTCTCTTCTGTCCTATAGGGTCACTGTGAATTGGAATCGACTTGACAACAACAGGTTTTATATGTTTCCTGCCCTGGCATGTAATAGGCTTATTTACCAAGAGTGTTATATTTTGACAGGGGTCTCCTAGAGAAGCAATAGGTGGAGTTGTTCCTGGAACTGTAGCAGATTATGGGCATTAAATTTAAGGCTGTTTCAGCCACACTGTAAATCACATTTTATTATCAGGAACCTGTTCATTTATGATCAAACCAAACCAAACCTACTGCCACTGAGTCGATTCCAATTCACAATGACCCTATAGGACAGAGTAAAACTGCCCCATAGGGTTTCCAGGACTATAATCTTTACAGAAGCAGACTGCCACATCTTTCTCCTGTGGAATGGCTGGTGGGTTTGAACCACCGACCTTCAGTTAGTAATCGAGCCCTTTAACCACTGCGCCACCAGGGCCCCTTCATTTTTGCTCACCAGCTGTATATTCAACTTCTTCGTATGTTTTTAATTAGTTTTTTAAATTATTATTGTGCTTTAGATGAAGGTTTACAGAGCAAATTAGTTTCTCATTAAACAATTAATGCACATGTTGTTTTGTGACATTGGTTGCCAACTCCGTGACATGTCAACTCTCTCCCCTTCTCAACCGTGGGTTCCCCATTTCCATTCGTCCAGCTTTCCTGTCCCCTCCTGTCTTCTCGTACTTGCCCCTGGGCTGGTGTGCCCATTTAGTCTCGAATACATAGTTGATCTGCGTGTATTGTTTGTTTTATGCACCTGTCTAGTCTTTGGCTGAAGGGTGAACCACAGGAGTGACCTCAGTACTGAGTTAAAAGGGTGTCCAGGGACCATACTCTCCGGGTTTCTTCAGTCTCTATCGGGCCAGTAAGTCTAGTCTTTTTTTGTGAAATTGAATTTTGTTCTACATTTTTCTCCAGCTCTATCCGGGACGCTCTATTGTGATCCCTGTCAGAGCAATCAGTGGTGGTAGCCAGGTACCATCTAGTTCTGCTGGACTCAGTCCAGTGGAGGCTGTGGTAGTTGTGGTCCATTAGTCCTTTGGACTAATTTTTCCCTTATGTCTTTGGTTTTCTTCATTCTCCCTTTCTCCAGATGGGGTGGGACCAATGGAATATCTTAGATGGCCACTCACAAGCTTTGAAGACCCCAGGTGCTACTCACCAAAGTAGGATGTAGAACATTTTCTTTATGAACTATGTTATGCCATTTGAGCTAGATATCCCCCGAGACCATGGTCCCCAACCCTCAGCCCAGTAATCCAGACCTTTGGGGAGTTTGGAAGTGTCTGTGAAACTTCTGTGACTTTGCCTTGGTCAAGTTGTGCTGACTTTCCCAGTATGGTGTACTCTTATTCTTCACCAAAGTTACCACTTATCTATTGTCTAGTTAGTGTTTTTTCCTCCCCACCACTGTCCTCCCTTGTAGCCATCAAAGATGGTTTCTTTTTATGTGGAAACATTTCATGTGTTTTTACAATAGTTGTCTCATATGGTATTTGTCCTTTTGTGATTGACTAATTTCACTCAGCATAATGCCCTCCAGATTCATCCATGTTGTGAGGTGTTTCGCAGATTCATCATTGTTCTTTATCTTTGCATAGTATTCCATTGTGTATATGTACCACAGTTTGTTTATCCATTCATCTGTTGATGGGCACTTAGGTTGTTTCCATCTTTTTGCTATTGTGAATAATGCTGCACGGGTGTGCATGTGTTTATTCATGTGACGGCTCTTATTTCTCTAGGATATATTCCTAGGAGTGGGATTGCTGGATCATATGGTATTTCTGTTTCTAGCTTTTTAAGGAATCACCATATCATTTTTCAAAATGGTTGTACCATTTAGCAGTCCCTCCAGCAGTGCATGAGAGTTCGAGTCTCCCTGCAGCCTCCCCAACATTTGTTATTTTCTGTTTTTCTTTTGAGTCGTGCCAGTGATGTCGGGGGCGAGATGGTATCTCGTTGTAGTTTTGATTTGCATTTCTCTAATAGCTAGTGATTGCGACCATTTCCTCATCTGTTTGTTAGCTGCCTGGATGTCTTCTTTGGTGAAGTGTCTGTTCATATCCTTTGCCCATTGTTTAATTGGATTATTTGTCTTTTTGTTGTAGAGGTATTGGATTTTCCTGTAGATTTTAGAGATGAGACCTTTGTTGGATATGTCATAGCCTGAGATTTTTTCCCAGTCTGTAGGTTCTCTTTTTACTCTTTGGGTGAAGTCTTTTGTTGAGTGCAAGTGTTTAATTTTTATAAGATCCCAGTTATCTGACTTATCTTCTGGTGTTTGTGTATTGTTAGTTATAGCTTGTATCCTATTTATGCCATGTATTAGGGCTTGTAGCTTTGACCCTATTTTTTCTTCTTTGATCTTTATAGTTTTTGGTTTTATATTTAGGTCTTTGATCCATTTTGAATTAGTTTTTGTGTATGGTGTGAGGTATGGGTCCTGTTTCACTTTTTTACAGAAGGACGTCCAGTTTTGCCAGCACCATTTGTTAAAAAGATTGTCTTTTCCCCATTTAATGGACTTTGGGCCTTTGTCGAAGATCAGGTGACTGTAGGTGGATGGATTTACATCTGGGTTCTTGATATTGTTCCATTGGTCAATGTGTCTGTCATTGTACCAGTACCAGGCTGTTTCGACTACCATAGCTGTATAGTAAGTGCTGAGTCAGGTAGCATGAGGCCTCCTACTTTATTCTTGTCTTCAATAGTGCTTTACTTATCCGAGGCCTCTTTCCTTTCCATATAAAGTTAATGATTAATTTTTTCATCTTATTACAGAGTACTTTCAGTATTTGGATTGGGATTGCAATTTATTCGTAGATTGCTTTCGGTAGAATTTACATTTTCATAATATTGAGTCTACTTATCCATGAACATGGTATGTTTTTCATTTTATGTAGGTCTCTTGTTTTCTTACAGTAGTGTCTTGTAGTTTTCTTTGCATAGGTCTTTGACATCCCTGCTTAGATTTATCCCTAAGTATTTTATTTTTTTATGGGCTATTATAAATGGCCTAGAGCCCTGGTGGCGTAGTAGTTAAGAGCTGTTAAGAGCTTGGCTGCTAACCAAAAGGTCAGCAGTTCAAATCTACCAGCTGCTCCTTGGAAACTCTATGGGGCAGTTCTACTCTGTCCTATAGGGTCTCTATGAGTTGGAATTGGCTAGATGGCAACAGGTTTGGTTTTTTTGGTTTATTATAGATAGCATTGCTTTCCTGATTTCCTTTTATAGTTCTCTTTATTGGTGTGTAGTAATCCAACTGATTTTTTTAAACGTTTATCTTGTATCATGCTACTCTGCTGAATCTTTCTGTTAGTTCCAGTAGTTTTCTTGTGGAGTCTTTTGGGTTCTCTGTATATAGTATCATATCATCCGCAAAAAGGAATAGTTTTACTTCTTCCTTACCAATGTAGTTTACCCTTTATTTCTTTTTCTTGCCTTATTGCTCTAGCTAGGACTTCTAGCACAATGTTAAATAGGAGTGGTGATAAAGAGCATCCTTGGTCATGTTCCAATTTTCAGGGGGAATGTTTTCAACCTCTCTCCATTGAGAATGATGTTGGCTGTTGAGGAATTTCCCTTCTATTCCTATTATATTGAGAGTTCTTATCAGGAATCGGTG